CCCCTTCCGCGCTCTCCCATTGGTTGAAGGCCTCCCGCGCCGACCAATGGGAGCGGAGGGCGGGAGGAGGAGGGAGGGCGGGAAGGAAGGCGAGCGCAGCCGGGTCTGCGCATGCGCGTCGCGCCCATTTTCCCTCCCCGGGCTGAGGGGTCTGCGGGGATGGGGGGTTTTGGGGTCTCAGTGTGACCCGGGTCGGGCTGGAAGAGACCCCTGGAGAGCATCTAGCCCAACCCCCTGCTAGAGCAGGGTCACCCACAGCAGATCCCACAGGAACACACCCAGAGGGGTTGGGATGTCTCCAGAGAAGGAGACTCCAGCACCTCCCTGGGCAGCCTGTCCCAGGGCTCTGTCACCCTCACAGTCAACAAGTTCCTCCTTATGTTCAGCTGGAACCTCCTGCGCTCCAGTTTGTGCCCAGTGCCCCTTGTCCTGTCACTGGGCACTGCTGGGAAGAGTCTGGCCCCATCCTGCTGACACCCCTGGAGATATTGAGGAGGGTTGATGAGATCCCCCCTCAGGCTCCTCCAGAGCAAACAGACCCGAGTGGGGCTGATTTGGGTAGTGGATAATCCAGGTAAAAAGCTTAACGTCAAACAGTGAAGTCAAGAGGTAGAGAAGTGGAAAAGGAAAGGGTAGATTTAGGTGAGGCATGAGGAGGGAATTCTTTGGTGTGAGGGTGGTGAGAGCCTGGCCCAGGTTGCCCAGGGAAGCTGTGGCTGCCCCATCCCTGGCAGTGTTGAAGGGCAGGTTGGATGGGGCTTGGAGCAGCCTGGGCTGGTGGGAGGTGTCCCTGCCCATGCAGGGGGTGGGACTGGATGATCTTGAAGGTCCCTTCCAACCCAAACCATCCCATGATGATTCTGTGAACAGGCAATGTGGATCGTCTACCAAGGAACTTAATTGCTCCATGAAATCAAGGGCTGAAGCAAAGAGGAGGAGCTGAAATGCTCCCTCTGCTTTAATTTGCCTTTTTTTTTTTTTTGAAGGCTTTAAATGTGAGTGAACCTCCATGGCCTGGGCAGTGGGGTGGGTGTTTGTCCCTGGTTCTGGCAGGGTGGGAGCAGAGGGTGATGCAGTCATGGGGATTACCAGAAGGTGGAATTGTGGCTTCTGCTTTGGCCAAGGGGTGATGGTGGGAAGGGTGGAAAATCTCAGCTTTCCACCCTGGGAGCAGACCTCTCATGTCCTCTGTGGCTGCTTAGACCCTTCTTAGGGTCTTAGTTTCTTGCAGTAGCCCTTGTCCTGTCCCCTGATTGCAGAATCATAGAATCATGGGATGGTGAAGGTTGGAAGGGACCTTAAAGATCATCCAGTCCCACCCCTGCATGGGCAGGGACACCTCCCAGCAGCCCAGGCTGCTCCAAGCCCCATCCAACCTGCCCTTCAACACTTCCAGGGATGGGACAGCCACAGCTTCCCTGGGCAACCTGGGCCAGGCTCTCACCACCCTCACAGTGGTAACAGAAGATAAAGAAAGATGGACAGTTCCAGGTTGGGGCATGGAAAGCTTTCCCAGGTCTGCCAGAGCCCCTGCCCATGTGCCTGGGAAAGGTGCTTAATGTGACTGTTTCTGTCTTTCCTCCCCAGGACGTGGCTGCTCATGTTGTGTTTCACAGGAGTGTTGTGCAGAAATAGCCACGAATACCTCCCAGGTGCTCAGTTGCTATGGAGATGGAGATCCTGATAAACACAGAGCCTGATGGAGCCTCTGTGGATATTGGAGCTGCTGGGAACTCCTCTGTGCCAAACCCACCACACTGTCCAGGCTGGCACAGCATCGAGCTGCAGAGCAAGGCCCACGGGTCCCCACACGTGGCTCCAGTCCCTGTTGCTGGTGGCCCCTGGAGGAGCAGCCAGTACAGACACAATCAAGAGCTGCTCTTATTCTGGGGTGAAAACACTGGATTTTCTTGCTGCTGTTTGCTCGCTCACATCACTGAGAACTCTGGAATCTGGTGTAGTCAGAGCTCTGCTAGTCATGGAACCACAGAATCACTGAATGGGTTGGAATGGACCTCAAAGATGATCTAGACCCACCCCTGCATGGGCAGAGACACCTCCCACTATTCCAGATGAAAAGCTTAACATCTAACAATAAAGAGAGGGGAAGAGAAGTGGGAAAGAAAAGGGAGATTGAGGTTGGAGATGAGGAGGGAATTCTTTGGTGTGAGGGTGGTGAGAGCCTGGCCCAGGTTGCCCAGGGAAGCTGTGGCTGCCCCATCCCTGGGGGTGTTGAAGGGCAGGTTGGATGGGGCTTGGAGCAGCCTGGGCTGGTGGGAGGTGTCCCTGCCCGTGGCAAAACTTGGATCTAGATGATCTTGAAGGTCCCTTCCAACCCAAACCATCCCATGATTCTGTGAAGATTTTCACAGAAGATGAAAGAAACAAAACCTTGGGTATTTTTTGCTTCCCAATCCCCAGCAGTGCCTGTGGTGGTTGAAGGTCACTGCTCACCTCGTGCAGGAGGTCAGGTCAGTGGGGAGGAGTTCCAAGTCTCCAGGGCTTGGCAGCAGTTTTGAAGCCCAGGTTAAAGCTCCTGTCCCTGGTGTTGGAGGTGTTTGCTGGAGGAAGGTGCTTTTCCTCTGGCAAAGCTTTTGCTCCTGGTTGGAAACACGGGACACTGTGTGTCCCCCTGTGACAGAACTGGGATCCTGTGTGGTTGGAGGCAGGAATGTGGTTGGAGGCAGCAATTGTGGCCTTGTCTTTTGATTGAGAGAACTTCCAAGATCCAGGATACTTCAGGAAAAAGCTTTTCAGTTGAACCAATGATGATCTTTAAGGTCCTTTCCAACCCATCCCATGACTCTTGATACCAAATGGGTACAAAGTGCTGTGCACAGGGTAACACTG